TACTTCTTTATTATGAGACTCCTTTCATAAAGTACAATTGCTTCTCCCACTTGGCACCATGCATAAGGACACTAGAGGAACAATTGATGGAAAATTTATGGGAACGCCCTTCGGTAACCCAGGTACATTTTAATCTTCTTAGAGTTCTATTTTTACTGAATTACTAAATTGGTACATTAATAGTCAAGTGGCTATGGAAACTAACCTGCAATAGCATATTTAATTAGACAGTTTTGTCATGTTCTGCTATCATTTTTTAAATTAAATTTTTATATACTCCCACTTTCATTGGGAGAGGATAGCCACTGAAGGCCATGTTGGTTTCGTTTTCATGTGATTGAAGGGTAAACCGAAGCTGAGTCAGGTTCCATAATCCAGACAGAACAATGTCTGGCATACGGTATCTCTAATTACTACCTCAAATCACTGCTGTTAAATTATTTTCTTGTTCAAGAAATATTGAAAGGTGTTTAAAGACATGGACATCTTTACTTTTTAAAGATTGAGTACAACATTCTTTCTACAACATACTGAACACTTACTTTAGTTTATTGTAGAAGCTTTCTAAATGGACTTCCTTCTGGCAAGAAGGACATTTCACCAGAACCTACAAATGGGTCTGTGCTTGTCTGACAGTAACCAAAATTTCTGGACTCACATCTGCCCAACAGTCGTGGCACCAAATTTACTGAACAGCTGTGCACAGACCCACCCCACATCTGTCAGAGCATTCCTGGAAAAGCTCTGCACTCAGAACAAACCCCCACACTCCCCAGGGTGGAGGGACTGTTCCAGGATGGACTAGAGGCTAAAAGAAATTGAACCTGGGGTGCCTGGGTGGTTCAGTGGATTCAGTGGCGGACTCTTGATCTCAGCTCAGGTAATGATCTCAAGGTCATGAGATCAGTCCCCTCGTCTGGCTGAGTGCAAAGCCTGCTTAATTCTCTCTCTCCTTCTCTCTCTGCCCCTCCTTAGCTCACTTTCTCTCTCTCTCTCTCTCTGCCTAAAATAAAAAAAAATAATAAAATAAATTGAAGCTAAACTCTTCATCAAGTGTCCAGGGTGGCCTTGGGTAGGCCTGAAGATTCTTGGGCTGTTCTTTTGTGGGGTCTCACCTATAAGCTACACCTGTGCTACACAGATTGCAGTCTTGAGGACCCACAGATTTTGGGCAGCTGGGCTTCCATTCAAGCCCTGTTGTCCCCAGACAAGGAGAGCATCAGCTGCCTTCTCTCAGACACTGGGATTCTTTCACCACACAGAGTTCCCATCGCCTCAGTACCCTGCTCTTCCTGTCTGTTCTGGACTGGGTTTCTGCATCTTGAGGCCCATCTCCATCTGCTCCACACACCATGATAGTTCTGGAGAAGGAGGGGTTGGAGTGGTGGTGGTGGGGAAGAGGTTTCTACCTGAGCCTCCTCGCTTAAGGGTGCTTCCTCTGCCCGAGGCTTTTCTGAGGCCTTCCCTACCTCCATTCGCCACAGAAGTGTCATTGCAGGTTTTCTTATTTTGCCTCTTTGAGGCTGCATCACTTCTATTCTCTTGGACTATGTTAAAAAATCATTCTGTGGGGCACCTATGTGGCTCATTCAGTTAAGTATCTGACTCTTGACTACTGCTCAGGTAGTGATCTCAGGGTTCATGAATTCAAGCCCGGCTTTGGGCTTCTGTACTGACAATGTGGAGCCTGAGTGGGATTCTCTCTCTCTCTCCCTCTCTCTCTCTCTCTCTCTCTGTGTGTCTCTTGGCCCATTTCCAGTATACATGCTCTTGCTCTCTCTCTCTCTTTCTCTGCATCTCAAGGCAAATAAATAAACTTTAAAACATAAATTAAAAATCATTCCTAAATACTCCTCTATCTTCCAGCCCCTTGTCTTTCCATCTATTACCACCCTGTAAAAAAGGGTTCATTTCCAAATACATAGATTTGCTTATGCTTATCTCAAACTTAAAAATTTTCAATTATTCCCAATTGCCTTCAGGGTAAGGTTAAAATGTTATAAGTGACCCTTTTTAAGCGGCCCATATTTTGTTCACAGCTTCTCTTCCATTCCCCACCCTGATACACACACCAACAGTGCCAAGAACAAGTATTTCCAATCACATCAGGCTGTTGGCTATTTCCATAGACTCCTTCTCTTTCTCTTTCTATATTTTTTGTTTCAGCTGTGCCTTCAACCTTGAATGCTCTTCCTCTCCCTCCCCGTGAGTATACACTTGCTTATTCATTGAGGCCTAAATTAAAGTCAAGCCAGGTGTGCAGCTTTCTCTTGCCCACCTGCCACCTCAGTGAAGTTTATTATTTCCTCACCTCCTACCATATGCTTTTGTGCATACCGCTATTATACAGCTTATTATATTGTCTTAGAGTCATTTTTGTATATATAGATATATTTTGTATATTAACTTTGCATGCATTTAATCATCTTAAAGGAGGCATCCTGTATTCATCTTTCTTTCCCCCAGATGTTCTATAACACAGAACACAGTGATGCTCAAATCATAGTTGGGGTTTTGGACGACCTACACTTTGGCTTCCTTCTAAATAAAACACGTAATTTCAGAATAACTGCAGATAGATGTAAGAATAATTGGAAAATAATTTTAACTAAATGGTCTATTATGAGAATGATCTTCATATTTCTTTATGCCCTGGATTCATCTTCTTTATCCTAAACCCTAACACCCCAGACCCAGAAATCACTCTACCTACGTCCTTTTAATCAAATATATTTTCTACAAGTAATGTTTCATGAACCTGATTTTGAAATGCAAAATTTATTTAGTGAACTTTTGATAATCTAGTTTTGAATAACAGGTTTCTGTAATTTTTAATGAGTTTGTCTGCTTTGGAATCGTGCTTTTTACTTTCCAAAAGATTTCAGAGAAAAAGGACAACATAAATTAGAGCTTCCTCTCATTTTAAAAAGGAAAGATGACAAGACAAGAAGTAGGGTCACTGAGAGATTAAAGCAAGTATTCCTCGGCACATGTAAATGGAATGTATTTAAAAAGCTTTCCAGGATCTACCTGAAAGCAGATGGCGGTAAGGTATATAAAAGGGGGCATGAAATGTTTCTTTTGTTCAGATTTATCTTTTCTAAATGCAAATTATGGACAAAATGATGACAAAATGCTTTTGGATTGGCAATCCTATTCCTTATTTTATGTAATGATTCGGCTTTTAAGTTGTAAATCATGGATTATAAACTTGTGCCTACTCTATGCGAAAATATGGGTAAATTTGTGAATTTAAATCATCGTACCAAACTGGAAATACAAACTCATTTGTACATATGGAGGAAGTTATATTTTGAAAGTACAATTAACAGTAACGTATTTTAACAGTATTTTTTGGTGAAAGTTTAGCTTCAACAACCTGCAGAAGTGGTAATGAGAAAATAAAAATTTGTATGGATTTAGGGTTTTTGAATGATGGTGAACAGGTGGCTGTGTGAAATAGACAAAAGTAAAGGGAAGAAAGACTTAGATCTACAAGTAAATAATATTTTACACGTTAGAGTAGTATAATGTTAAATGAGAAAATGAAGACAATGTCTAATAATCCAAAGTAAAGATACAATATTTCAAAATGTGTACATATGTATATACACATATATGTGTATATATGCATTTATATGCATGTAAGGTATTCATACACCCACATCGGTTTCTGTGTATATAGACTGTGACTACTTAAAATACATTTTTTTTTAAAAGAGTCAGGGCACTAATATTGCACAGGTTGTATTGGTTTGTGTCTTTACAAAACGGTAACATCAAGTAAATGAAATATTTTTTATCTCTAATAATTACTAGACATAATTTCCAAATTATTCACTTTTAATCAGTGTGCTTGTAATCAGTGTCATCATAGATTTCAGGCTGTACCCCTGAATAGAAAAGACATAAGCCTTTGAAGGTAAACTCCAGTTCTGACATTTATTAGTATGACCTCAGGGAAGTTTTCAACTTTTCTGAATGTCTTTTTTTTCCAATGTTAGTGAGAATAAAACAAGCAAAATAAATAATCTCTCTGGCATGCTATTGTGAGGGTCAAATAAAATGAAATATAGGCAAGAGCTAGGTAGTCAATAAAAATGAGTTCCCTGCCTTCTACACTTGATGGTAACCTTTTGCTTTTGTTTTTGCAATCATGTTCTTTTAAAACATATTGGTTCACTGAGGGAAAGTCCAATGACAGGCCTTAAAAGGCCTAGAATTACAAATTTATAATATGCTGTTATCATTTGTCCTCATGAATATAAGTTCCTAGAACGTTCATGATGCTTCACTTTAACTTAAATTTACAATCTTGGTCCATGTCCTTCTCAAAGTCACTGATAACTGAATCTAATAGAGATATCAAATATTATTTTATTACCATACCCACTCTAGAGAAATGATCTACTGTTATTAAAAGATGAGTAGAAAAGTTAGACATTATTTCTAACATGGTCATTTTTATAGTGGTTTTAAACTCAGGGTCACCAAAGAATTTATGAAAGTTTTCCCAAATCTATTTATGTTCTATCATGCTCCACTTCTACAATTACATATAGAAATAACAGTTTTCAAGGCCTGAAAATCTATATTATAGAAATAAAAAATGGGAAAATAAATACCAATTAATAGTAATAAAGCCATTTTTCATTGATTTGCAAATCCATAGGCATTTAGTTTATAAAAATTATAGGATTCAATTCAGAGTTCCATCTGCACATTTTATGAAGCCAGAAAACCATGCTTTAAATTAATATCTATTTCTTTTCCCAGTGGCTTACAAATCCTGATTTATTCTAAAATATGTAAATAAGGACAAGTTACTGACATAGCATTTCTGTAGTTGAATTCTTTGCTAATTTAATTTCATGCAATTATAATACTCCAATTGCATTTATTCTCACCTACATGGACTTAAAAGATTTGGTGAGGTGAGGAGAGGTATAGCTGTTTTGTTTTAAGCATCATCTAGATATGATAAAATAGCCAGGCACTACTCACAGCTGACATGATGAGCTCTCCTCCTAGGTTCTGGATCTCAGCTTTAACTTGACTACATATCTTCAGTTGGTGAGAGTAAAACTTAATCTGTTCCAGGTAGGCCAACAAATCTTGTTTGCATGATGGATCTGGACACTAAATATGCATAAAAGATAAAAATGGAAACAACAAAATAAATAAGAAAAGATTGAATAAATACTGACTCTGAGGTACCTTATAATGCAGCAATATTATTGTCATTGAGCCTCATCTCTCAGCCCACGCCCATGTAGTTTCTGATATACTTCCACCATTAGAAGAATTTATTCATGTTTCAACCTTAATTACTTCAGCATAGACAAAGGAAATAATAGTAAAGGAATTTTCAGACTTGAAAAGGTACATAAAATAATTACCTTTAATTTATGATAGGGTTAGAAGTCTTCACGTTGCATTTTAGGCAAATCTAAAGAAATATTTTAAATGCAATTATTTCTTTCACTTAGAGTTACTATTATTAGAGTATTTCTTGGGACCTATTTTTCTGCATTGTCTGTCCTTTCTTATTTGTAAGGGCATGAAAAACACCCACAACAAACCATATATTATCTTCTGTTACTTTCATCATTACACATTACACAGATGAAATCATTTGCACCTTAGGTTAACAGTCATGGATCTACCTTGAGCCAAGAAATAAACAGCATACATGTTTTAGAAATATATTAAGACTCTTTACCAAACATGGTCTCCTATACTATAATATCATCCATAAGGAACTTCTTGGAGGAAGGCTTTCAACAAAACACGGTAAGTATCTATGGTCGGGTTTAAATCTTTCAGCTCTTTCTTCTATGCAATTATAATAGAATTTCTTAATCCCTGATAATTTACTATACTTGTACTTTAAGTACATCTTCATAAGGATGTGGAAATGTGGACAATAATTTATATGCAAAGATATTAATTGCAGCATTATATATAATCATAATATTTGGAAATGACTTAAATGTCCAAAAATAGTGAAAAGATTAAATAAGGACTCATATCTATATAATGTGATATTATATAGTCTCAAGAAAATATGTCCAAAGGAGTTGGAAAAATGTGTTTAGAAGGTGGAAAAAAACAATATTTGAAATTTCACATACTATCTCATTCAAATTGTACAAACAATACATAATTGTGTTTGTGTTTAAAACATGCTGGAAAAATATGAAATAAACAAACATGATACAATCAATAATTTTGTTTTCTTTCTATTTTACATTTCTTAAATACATATATATATAATTTCCATAAGTATAAAAATGTTGTCAATAAAGCTTTAATTCTAATGACTTGAAATGTAAATTAAACCGTATGATGAAATACCACAAAAAGCATTCAAGTAATTCACAAATTAGAGTGTTGTTGGAAAATTGCTGAGAATTGTTTCTTTTTCATATTTCTATATAGAATAGTTACATAGCTATAGAATGTGTAGAGAAGGTGAGAATATACTACCCTTGAGTCAAAGTTAATCAGGAAAGTTAGCAAAGAAATTAATTCTTCAGAGATACCATCATAGCATGGACATAAAAAGGAATAGCCAGATATGGAATAACCAGCTAGAGAGACAATTGGACAAGATAATAGTAAGACATTCAAGGTGTTTCTCAAATTTTAAACAAGGAAGTAACGGTAATTCCCCAAATCTCAAAAGGATTAAAACTGTAACTAATTAAAAAGAGGGAGAAGGAAGAAAAGATGGAGAAAGAGAAAGGAGGAAAATAAGGACAAAGAGAAAGAGAGAAAAAGAAATAGAAAAGAAATAGGAGGAAGAAGAAAAAGAAAGAAGTGATTTCCCTCAATTTCTGGATGAGAAATCAGAAATTTAGAAAGCATAACCATTTTCCCAGCACTGAAAAGTTTATGTAATAACAGAATTTGAACCATATCTATATGCTTTCAAATCTGTTTTATTGGAGCACCTGGGTGGCTCAGTCGGTTAAGCCTCTGGCTTCCGCTCAGGCATGATCTCATAGCTTGTAGGTTCGAGACCCACGTTGGGCTCTGTGCTGACGGCTAGCTCAGAGCCAAGAGCCTGCTGCTGATTCTGTCTCCCTCTCTCCCTGACCCTCCCCTGCTCACGCTGCCTCTCTCTCTCAGAAATAAATAAAACATTTTTTAATAATCCATTTTATTTTAAATCACTAACAACGGAATTTTATATGTTTTTAATGTTTATTTATTAATTTTGAGTGGGTGCAGAGAGAGGTGGAGACAGAGAACTTCAAGCAGGCTCCACTCTGTCAGCACAAAGCCTAACACAGGACTCCATCCTGTGACCAGAGGAGAAATCAAGAGTCTAATGCTTAATCGCCTGAGCAACCCAGGTGCCCCTGAAGTGCATTTTTTAAAATCACAGAATAAGGTGCCTGGGTGGTTCTGTGGGGTAAGCCTCTGACTTCGGCTCAGGTCATCATCTCACGGTTGGTTAGTTCGAGCCCTGCGTTGGTCTCTGTGCTGACAGCTCAGAGCCTGGAGCTTGTTTCAGATTCTGTGTCTCCCTCTCTCTCTGACCCTCCCCTGCTTATGCTGTCTCTCTCTCTTTCAGAAATAAATAAAACAATAAAAAAATTTTTTAAATCACAGAATACTGTGAGGTTTATGGTTTCAAGGAAAGAGAGAATTCATGCGAACACTATGTTTCCAGCACTGTTCTGAAGTAACAAGTACTTCGATTTGTTCAAAGACCAAAACTAGTTATTGAGAATTACCTAGAATGATGAAAGTTATGTTTTATCATGACAGGAAGTGGATTGTATTTTCTATGTGTGGGACACTGTGCCATGTCCTTTGTGTGAATAATTCTAAGTTAGTATTTCATTGTGCCATTTTACTTGGGTCTATATTACTATTTTGCCCATTTGCACATGGAGTTTTCTATAGAATATATGATTTGTCTAAAGATTTGAATTTACCTTTATTTCATTCACTGTACAATGATGTCTTCTATATGACATTTATTCAAAAAGCCATTTTCTTTGTCTTCACTGAGTAATGGTCCTATCTATTCTTTGTTCCTATTGATGGACTCAGTGATAATACATACAGTATTTTATCTGTCATGTACTATTCTAGGTGCTTTACCTATATTAACTCTTTACTAATCATCAACTCCAGAGGGTAGGTTCTACCATAATTTAACAAAAGAGGAAACTGAAAAACAGAGAAGTTAACAGACTTCTCTAATTAACAAATGGTAGAGCTGGTATTCAAACTTACATTATCTGGCTACACTTCCTATCTTCACAATCTAGGAATGATATCAGTCTTCCTGCCACCTTAGGTAATAAACAATAAATTATCACTCTGATTTGTGACTTTGTTTCTTATGTTGACATTCACTTTTTTTGGTAAGCTGTAAGTAGGATTAGTGTGGATTTGTTCCTTAAAGTTTAGCACCACTACTTATTTATGATAAAATTGAACTTGAAAGCTAATAATTAGATTCTTGACCAATAACCAATGTTGCAATTACTCAAGTTTAAGCAAAACATGTAGTTTCTCTCAAGAGACCCTTTCAAGGCCATACTATAATTATGTAATTCTGTTAAGGAAACAATGAGTCAAATGAATACAAAATATGAAGTTCAACTTTTGAAGTTAAAAGTTGTTTGACCCAGATTCTCCTTTTATTTCCTGAATTGATGAGAATGCTTGGTTACACCTAAAGACCATAGTCTTATAGGTGACATTAAAAAATACTAATTGGTATATTCAAAGCTATATAATTTATTAAAGGCTTCTTTCCTATTGACATGAGGAAAGCAAGCCTTTGAGTGGATTTTGGCTGCCTAGAAGCAGAATCAGGAGAACAAATCATTCCCACTTTAAGAATGCTCTTCTATTTTGCCAAACCTCCTTCACCAAATCAAATAATATTTTCCCTACCTTTTACATTTTTATATGAGAGTTATAGAAAAATTCTGGTCCTAAATTTATAGGACATTCATGACCCTGACTTTTTTTCCAAATAAAATTTGCATAAAAATAACTTAAAACAACATTGATAGGGACTTTTAGACAAATCAAGTGTAGAAAATCATAACACGCATGGGTTATTATTTCTCAGTTTATTACAACTGGAGATGTTGACTAGGGCATCTGGTTAGCTTTTTAATGCATAGATTTTTTTTTTTTTTTTTTTTTTTTTAAACCACCGGGACACTTAACTACAGGCAAGCAGATGGCATATCAGCTTAGGTGGTTTTCTCAAGCTAAACCAGCCTTCACTCTTCTGGCAAGGTAATTAGTACCAGTACAGAATACATCATTTAGTAACGAGAGCAAAAGTAAAAAAACAACTACAAAAAACAAAACACAAAACAAAACATTTATTACCTTCTGGTTTGGATTTTAAGAGTGAATTAGCAAAGTGAATACTTTTAAAGATCTTTATGCCATAAACTTAGCAATTTTTTTGCCCATACTTGAGTATAAACTTTATTTAAGACACATTTAAAATGACTTTTGCAATTACAGAGAGCAGTTTAAATTCTGCTAGGCTGGCAAAGTTTGTTAATAAAAAGTACTAGGAGTCATTGAGAATTTCTAGAACAGAAATTTCAAGCAGTCAGTGATAGCAAAGGGCTCTGAGTCCTGGACATTTACCTTCCCTTGGGTTTATTTCTCAACCTCTACTCTAGCTCAGAGGCTGTTTCCTTTCACCTTCCTTAAGATCCATACCACCAATGATCCCATCTTTCTTCTCTTTTAATATCTCATTTTTCTAACCTTTAATCTATCAATATAATGTCCCTCAAAACAGAAACCCTCTGTCAACCCTATAATCCCATCTGTCTCTTCTTGTTTGTGACCATGACTTCTAAAAATTTTTCAGTGCTGCCTCATTGACATCCTCAGCTTTTGTTCTTGGGCATCTTTTGATTCTCACCTTCTTCTTGGACAATAGTACATACTGCTCCAGCTTCAGCTATTTCAAAATCACAAATTACTAAATCTTTATCATCTAGCCCTGACTTCAGAAGAACATTTGGATTTGCCCAATCCATCTCATTGTCTCATCACTTCATACTCAACGCATATAATCCTCAACTATCTCAGAATCCATCTTGCCTACTGTTTTTTCCCTCTATTAACCATCTCAA